ATATATAATATATGAAACCACTAGTCTCACCCTTCATAACGTATATATATGTGTGTGTGTGTGTGGGGGGGGGTTGGGTGTGTGTGTATGGTTATAACAATAATAGTAATAATATCAGCAATAACTTTTATCAAGAAAGCATTTGTCCGGGGGAAAATAGCAGTAGTAAAATAATAGTAATAATTAATAACAAAGTAATTTAAAACAGCATGGACACGAAATTTCAATCGAAAAGCGGGCGCTCTATTACGTTTTTTTGTGAAAGCTTTTTTTTTGTGAAAGCTGTTAACCCATAAATGATTATGTTGTCGTGCTGTGTCTACACGAATGTGTAAAAAGAAAGATACAGATCATTCAGCAACATCTAGTATTGTTGAAAATTATGTGACCCAATGAAATTAACAAATTATTGGACAAAATTTAATGGTTAAAATTAAACGTCATTAAATTCCGACTGATAAATCTGCTTGAGAATGTGAATTTATTTGACTGACTGACGCCACATATTTTTTTAAGTGCATTTCCATCAGGACAGGATGGGTTTCACCTTCGACCTTCTTGCTACTGAAATGTATTGAAAAAGAACACTGGTAAACAATGAGTAAAATGTACTCTATTACGAATGGCATCATCTATATTACAGGACTGATAAACAGGTGTACTAATTTGTATTCAACCGTGATTCAGGTAAATTGTGATAACATAAAAATTTAATTGAATTAAGTGATACACTGATTAGGGCCTATATTAAATAACTTAGCCTAAAACGTTACCCGGTTTTCGGCACACTATCATAAATGTATCATGCAATCTCCAAAAAAAAAAACTAAGAGAAGCTACGGTGATTAAAAAACTGACAATTGGCTTCTCTTCTTTTTTTTTTTTTTTGTATTATACTGTAATAACTGATGAAAAAATTATGATCACCGCTAAATACACAACAAGTAACTTACACTAACTAGCCACCGTATTTCGCATCTTCTCTCGTTTGCGTCTACATCAGTCGGTGAATCGGATGAAAAATGGTGTTGATTGCAAAGGTCATTGGTCAAATGTTTGATATGGCAGTTAATGGAAAAGTTGACGTCACATTTCCGTCGTTATCATTTTAAGGAGCAATTATAGATGAATCTCATACACAACAATCGCAAAAAATTGTTTTAAACCGGCGATAAGCTAATGTCTAAATCTATTTAAAGGGCAATCATATTCGATGCCGGAATAATAAAGAAAATGTACCGGTAACGGACACGAGCACACTGCATGTGCCCGCTTTGTGTGCGCTTGACGACGCGATGCGTCTGTTGATTGCCCATGGCAGATGATGGTGGATCGTCATAAAACACGATTCATTTCTCGCACCTCAGCTCCTTGCGTTTTCAAAAGGAATAGCATGGACCGACGACCGTCGATGCGGTGGCGGTACCCACCTTTACGATACCGGTACCATATCAAAATGAAAACAAAAAACAAAACCACATAGGCCTAGATTAATTATACAAATAGAATTTGTGGAAAAGGAACCATGCCACCTAAGCACAGAAAACAATCAAAAAACCCCAAGAAAATTATATCCGACAATGTTGGAAAATCTCAATAATTGGTAAAGATAATGTATCTATGAACGTTGATAGACATCTCATTTGCAAAACATAGACAAGCCATAGGTCTACCACAAAGAGCATTCCTTTATAAGATAATAAAAGTAAGAACCTTTAACGAAAACTGCAATCGGAAGAATTCAGGCACTATGGTCATCAAGTGTGGTTCCTATAAAATCGCTACACGCTATCGTCGACAACTTTCGGCGACGTTGATTGGTCAAATCGGGGAGCCTTGTCGAATGCGTTTGGGAAAGCTCCGCAGTGAACGATTGCAGTGAAAACAATGTAGCGAGAGCGTAGCACTGTATGGCAACCAGACTTTAGCATTAGTCTTAAATTGAAAAAAAAAAATAGCATTGAATAACATCTTACTGGTAACCTCAACTACAAAAATCTGAACATGTTTCTTGTAGTATTTCAAGACAGTGTGCTTTCTCTTCCTATATAAAAATAATCATGTGCAAAGAACCTAATGTAATCGATGTTAGGAATCAATTTTGACAGTACGAGATGAAACAATATTCGTTGAAGTCATTGATCGATAGCTAATTTATCACTCAGCGGTTCTCCATTGAAGTATTGTTCTCATGAAAAGCACCGTAGTTGCACATACGTGACCTTTTTATTTTTCGTCTTATTAATCGACAAATCGACGGGAAGATCTCAGCAAGAACAGACTTTCGATCATTTAGATAACCATATGTAGGCCTACTTATTTACACATAAAATATTAAGATTATACTATATGAAACAAACAAAACACCGAAGTTTCTCGGATGTGGCATTCAACAGCGTTCTATAATTATCGTCTAATTCGTGTCTAGTTCGATATCAATCAACTTAAAGTAAAGAGAGTAATAATTATCCAGGAATTTCATATTATATTGCGTCGCTCTACACTTCAATTATCCGTAATAAGCCCCGGAACGTTGTCGCACACTAAGGTAACCCGTTTTCAGGCATACCATCCTAACTATTTACACTGCTCTAAATGTCTACGTGGCTCACATAATACAATGAGATACAGCTTCCAGCTATAATTGTCTATTCCAAGTAAGTCTTGTCTCATGACATTCATAAGCTATGATTCGGCCATAGCATTACGTGAACATTTGGTTTAATTTTAGTATTATTCTCTTTATTTCGGGAAAATATCCATAAATATTACAAGCGAATATTACAAAAAAAAAAATTGCTATCAACCCAAACTTTAAGAGACATGTATCTAATTTCTTGAATGTTGGTGAAAAGTTTCTTTATTCAGCTTCAAAAATGATCAATTAAATTACGACAACTAAAATCCTAGACATTTGATCGATATTTTAAATAGTGCCTAGACCTATTATATATAAATAGTATATGGAAATGTTGTACCAGCGACATAGTATTGTACAGAAGACTCTCGGACGCTACCAATGTTCTAATGCGCCTCAAAGAAATGAAAATAATACGGGTTAGGTACAAATTAATGAGGGTGTCATTAGACTCAATGACTAATAATAAAAAAGACTGAAATTAAAGGTTATATTATTTCAAGTATTCGAAACAATTCCATTGTCGCCCCCAGCGTACTTGATATTATAGTAGACGCACGTTTATTAGGATTCCCACTAGCCTCCCCGATAGATATGCCGACAACAGATCATTTATTTGATGCTCTAAACAATGAGAGCAGCATACATGATTTTAGATCATTTATTTGATGCTCTAAAGTCATGTATGCTGCTCTCATAAGTCGCTTACTACCCTTTTGATTAAAATCGTATATTAATGTATTATATTT